GCCAACTAGCGGTGGGGTATCTGAAGCTGGCTCGTAACCCGAATTTTAGCTCGCAACTCAAAGCAAAAAATCGGCTGAGAGACGGCTCGTATCTCGAAAAACTCATTAGTCGGGACACTCGTAAGTCAAGGCCCCACTGTATTTGAAAAATCCATGCTTTTTCATTCTTACAGCACATCTTAAATTAAGCAACTTGATATGGATGGGCTTCTTGACGCTGAACACTCCTAAGTGAAACATGATTAATGTAACCGAAGTGGTATGAGAAGTTCCCCTGAGACACGAGAAGACAGAGGTGGGCGACTGGAAAGGGAAGTAATGCTGTGGCCACTAGAGGATGTTGAAACAATATTGTGGCATCTACTCAGCCGGTCCCTTCCTGGAACCGTGACGTCGGGAAAGAGAGCTTCCCTGATGCACAGAAATGCTCGTCTGCCCACCATCTGTGCTCGGTGAAGACCCAGGTTTCTCAACCCCAGGAAGTCCCCTTGTCTCCCAACTGTAAGGGGAATAGCACAGCCGCTGGAGTCAGCCGGGCTCAGCGTCTCCCGCAGACAGAAGGCTGGGCGTGCAGGCCGGCCGGCTGCAGCCAGTCTGGGGTTGAGGATGCTTGCAGTGCTGGCCAGGGGGTTCTGGGCCCAGGCAGGAAATAGACTCTGCCTTCCACCCTCGACTGGAGACTGGCTTCAGTGAAGCTGAAACTGGGCAACTTGGGGACCAGGTGCCACTAAAGGAAAGGGAGAGGGTGCTGGTGAGAAGGTGTGAAGGACCAGGGCCCACACCCGTCTGTGGAAATGGGAGTGAGTGTGTCCAGGCAGAGGGCCCAACCCCTCCAGCCCCGGGGGACAGAAGAGCGAAGGATGAGAACCCTCCTTGTCCTTCAGAACCTAAACTTTCCCTGAGTGCCAAGCCTCTAATGCAGTGGTTCTCAACCTTCTGGCCCTTTAAATACAGTTCCTCATGTTGTGACCCAACCATAAAATTATTTTTGTTGTTACTTCATAACTGTAATGTTGCTACTGTTATGAATTGTAATGTAAATACCTGATATGCAGGATGGTCTTAGGCGACCCCCGTGAAAGGGTGGTTCGACCGCCAAAGGGGTCTCGACCCAAAGCGGTTCCATTGAGAACCGCTGCAATGGAAGTATCGAACGAACGTGAATTCTGAATGCTAGGGAGGGGCGATTACTAGGCTTTTTACACTTCCTACCGGGTCCACAATTTACCAAAGAAGAACACGAAAGGGAAAGAAGGAGGGAGCGATGCCCTGCCTGTCGAGAGCTTTCTGCAGAGCAGCCCGCAGCCTGACACCCGGAGCTCTCCTCCCACACCCGCTGTGTGGACAGGCCCGCTCAATCCTCGGAGGCTGAAGGGAAAGGGAGAGAAGTTTGGCCAGGCACTGACTGCCCATCCATTAGAGGGGACGGAGGGTTAAAATATGGGTAATATTGATTGCGTGATCACCAAGGGCTAATTAATACACCACCACTCAGGAGTGTTAATCCTCAGAACAACTTTCTGAGGTATTATCATCATTTCCAATTAATAGATGCAGAAAGTTAGGCACTAGGCAGATAAATAACTTGCCCAAAGTTACGGAGAAAGTATAGGTTTAGATGGGACTGCAAACTGCTTCCTGGCTCAAAATCCTCTGATAGCTTCTCATTGTACTCAAAACCCAAATCCTTCACCACAGCCTATAAAATCCTGCACGCTCTGCTTCCTACCCCCTCTTCGGCCTCCCTGTCTACAACCTTCCCCCTTGCTCACAGACTTGATCAAACTGGCATTCTGAGTGTCCAAAGCTGGCACTCATTCCTGCCTGAGGGTCTCTGAACATGCTGTTCCTGCTCCCAGGAACACTTGTCCCACAGATCTCTGCAGGGCTAGCCCCTCACTTTATTCATAGATCTGCTCAAAAGCTATCTCCACTGTGCAACCCTCCCTGACCACTCACTTAAAATATACTGTCCCCCACCCTAGCCAGTTTGGTTCCGTGGATAGAGAGTCAGCCTGTGGACTGAAGGATCCAGGTTTGATTCCGGTCAAGGGCACGTGCCTGGGTTGCGGGCTCGATCCCCAGTGTGGGGCATGCAGGAGGCAGCCGATCAATGATTCTCTCTCATCATTGATGTTTCTATCTCTCTCTCCCTCTCCCCCATCCTCTCTAAAATCAATAAAAATATATTTTAAACATAAACTAAAAAAATACATACTGTCCCCCAATCTCTATTGCCTTACTCCATTGTATCTTTCCTCACACACCGATTACTAGCTGAAATCACATCTTTATTTGCTTGGCTGTGCATTGTCTGTCTTCCCAACTACAGTGTAAGATCCCTCAGTGCTGAAACTTCAGCACTGGGACACGACTCAGAAAATATTTGTTGAATGTGTAGGGGGGCCGCTGCGCTGAAGGTGAGACAGTAAGGAAAATACAGTGATTCTTCACCTTTTGAAAGTTAAGCACCTGCCCAAGTACTAGATGAAAGTCATGCACCTTGTGTCCCATAAAATAGCCAAACATCTGCACTAGCAGGAGAGACAGGAAAGAGACTTGGATATATTTGAACATCAGCTGAAGCCCCTCTGCCTGCCCCCCACTGGCTGCCTCCTGGATACTTCAGCCCCCACTAGGGATGCTTCTCAAGAAAAGAACGAGACCTGTGAGGAGGGCAGTGGACTGAGAGGGAACTGTCTGCATCCGGGACCAGCAATCTGGTCACTGGCCACTGCATACACTACATTATGCATTCTCACCCCTGGCCCTTGGCTCCCAGTGGGAGATATGAGGACTGACATTCATGTTCCCTGCCTCCTGACAAATACAAGCCACATCACCCTTCAAAAGCTAACTTGCTTTGACCAACAGAATGTGCAGAAGTGACACCATACCAGCTCTGGGCCCAGCCTGGAAGAGGCCCAGCAGCTTCTGCCTTCCCTTATGGCCAGTTGCCGTGTAATAAATCTGACTATCTTGAGACCATCCTACTGCGATGAAGCCCAAGTTAGCCACATGGAGAGAGGGAGAGAGAGGATGGCCAATGGAGGAATCCTGCGGCACTGACACGTGACTGAAGCCTTCCTGGACCTTCCAACCCAGACAGGCCAATGCCAGCTGATTGCAGCCTAGTGAACAGCTCAAGTCAACACCAAGTGGAGCAGAAGAACCACCAAGCCAAGCCCTGCCTGAGTTCCTAACTTGCAGAATAATGGAGAACAACACATCTTTGTTGTAGGTTGTTACATGGTAATAAGTGATCCATTCGCACCGACTCTTCACCAGGTATGCCCCCCATCCTCCTTCTTTTCTGATTCCTACACATCCCTCAATTATTATCCCCAGTAACACTTCCTTCCAGAAGTATCTCTCATCACTCTAGCTCACTCCTCAGCCTCTGAATTCTCAATCTTGGACACTCAGCTCAGGTGCTCTCTCCTCTGAGAAGCCTCCTCAACTTCCTCAGCAGCCGTGGGTGCTACTCCCCAAGCCCAGAGCACCCATGAACATGGCATTCCCATAACCAACCCTGTCTGCTTGCTTCCCCTCAGACTGTCGCTGTCACATACATAGTCATCCACATACTCCACACACATAGCTCATTACCGACCACACAGTAAGGGTTCAATAAAATCCTATGAACTAAAAACCCCTACACCACCCACTGGACCTGAACATACGGTCTCATTCAGGTCTCTGCAGACCTGTGTGTCTTCACCACTATGACCGACAATGCCTTGCAGGTGAAGATTGTGGTACTCATCTGTATCCCTCACAGAGCCTCGCACATAGTAGGAGCGCAATACATGTTCTGTTGACATTTTACTAGTCAATGTAACTTACACTGTGACCCTAATGCACCCCTGGATCTCTGATACTCAGGTCACAGATATCCCAGCCCTGGAGGCTACACGAGGGCGGATGAAGCTCTGCTTGGTTCTTTGGGGCCCTTTGAAATGCCCGAAAGTCCATGCATTCCACATTCACAACACTGAGTTCATCGCAAAAGGGTAATCTTTTGGAAGCCACACCTCCAACTCCTATTTCAACAGACAAACGTGAAAGAGTCCACACAGCATCCCACACTGCCTGGGAGTTGCAAATCAACTGGAAATATCTGGTTCAATAGGTGACTATAAAGCACTGTCCAGACAGCACTGTCACCACAAGGGACAATCATTCTATGAACACACACAGTCTTGTGACCGTCACTCAACATTCCAGAGATACAGGAGCTTCGTGGGCCTGGGGAGGAGGCGGAGGGTTATAAATAGTGTGGTGTGGTGGGCCCAACACCGGGGCAGAGGCCAGCTTCCTGCTCCTGGTTAACATGGAGAACTTCTTATCTACAAACCCCTTATCTCTGACTACCTCGGTCCTTTCCCCAAGCCTCCTGAGGACCGGGCCCTGGCTCTCCCCAGGCAGGCCAGGGCTCATCTACCGCTCATGCTCCAGCCGCCCCCTCCTCGCATTTTATGTCTCAGCTGGGACCTGATCATAAAATCTTATAGGCTCACACCAGGCCATGAAATTTCAATGCAACGCATAAGAGTGTTTGTCACCTGGAGCTGGGCAAGGTAGAGAAGGTGATAAAGGCCCAAAGACGAGGAGAGAAAAAAAGAAAACGGAGAGGACAGGTCAGAAAGTGGTGGTGGGGGGAGTCCTTCTGTCCAGCTGGCTCAATAAGTCGATGTTCAACTCTGGGAGACACAAAGGAAATGTGCGCTGGACCGGAAGACAACAGTTCTTGGATGCAGCCCACACAGGTGCTTGACTGCTACAGTGATGTCAAATTCCTTTAAAAGTTCCTAAATACGTGTTCTGAATGTTGGTATTTATGTCATCGCTACCCAGCACCAGGTGATTCACAAACCGGCACCAATCTATGAAGCACACTTCGAGTAGCGCTGATATAATTAATTCCACAAACTGTCTAAAATCTAACACAATGCATGTTGCAAACACACACAAGAATGATATTGTAAAGGTCAACTTACCTGCTGGTGGCTGAAACTTGATCAGATCTTGCAAGTCAGTAGAAATCTGGAAAACGTGGCTGTAGAACTGCTGCACAGAATTCTTCAGGCCAGAAATGTCTCGGGAATGTGATCGGAGGGTCCCGTTCATCTGCCTGACACAACTCCACAGGCCGCTGACATGCTTGTTGAGCCCTTCCTTGATCCGCTGAAGACTTCCTGAGATGGAGTCCAGTTTGCTGCAAGTTTTCTCCATCTGAGACACCCTGTGCTCAACCACCGAGACCTCCCTCTGGACCCCGTGCGTATTGTCCTTACAAGTGTCTAGCTCAGCGAGCACCTGGCTCTGCAGCCTCTGCCATCTCTCCTCCAGCTGGCTGCAGCAAGGGGCCTCGGTGTCCTGGGGAGTCGGGAGGGGCTCCACCGTCCTTTCTCGCTCGCCCCCCTTAGGAAACCCATCCACTCCAGCGTTTTTACCTTCCCTACACTTGCTCAGCTCATTCTGAAGATGATTCATATCATCTTCTGTGTGGTTTAGTTGAGAATACAGAAAACTAAAATCCTGTTGAAGTTTCTGGATGCTACGTTCAGTTTCTTGAAATTTCCTATGCATCGTGTCATTCAGAGACTTCAAAAGGCTCGAACTATCACCCACTGCGTGGTCTTCTCCATTTGGAAAAGTATCTTCTATCCCATGAAGCGCTCCCTGCAGGCAAATATCCTCAACATCTTGAACTTTCTTCTTCAAGTGGTTTAATTCCACCATGACCTGGTCATGCCCAGCCCCTGACCCGCCAGGGCGGGCTGATGCTGGGGGAGTGGGTTCTGCATCAGTGTTGTTGGTCATCTCCAGGAGCAGGCTCCCCAGACGCTCTTCCAGAGACTGTATTTTCTGGTCAAGAAGTTGCTTCAGGTCATCTACCTCTCCATTAATGGTCCCCCGGAGCGTTTCTTCAATGTAAAAGCAATGTTCTTCCGCATTCTTCTCTGTCACATTGATCCTTGCATCTAATTCGTTCCATCTTGCATCAAAGTCCACATCTGGCTCTGGAACTTGGAGCCGGTCAAACTCATTGTCCAGCCGCCCATTTAGCATTCTGGTGGCTTCAGCAACTCTTTCAATTTTCTGGTCTAACACCTTGATCTGTTGCCCAAAGTCACCAGTCTTTTCACCATCACAGCAATTGGACCGGGCTGAAGGATCTTGCAGCCGGGCTCGAAGGTCATTTATTTCTTTTTTCAGGTTTGTTTCCTTCTCTCCTATAAGCTCAATCACTCCCAGATAGCTGCTCCCATAGTCATCACACTGCTGCTGAACACCAATCAGCTTGTACTCACAGGAGTTCTTCAGATCGGCCAGCTTTCTGTCCATTCCCTCCATGAGCTCCTCTCTCAGGGCTTCTATCTTACTGTCAACATAGGCTTGGTAGAGTTCATTGGTTGTCATGGTCACCGTAGGGCCCTGGGCAGCCTCCTGGAGCTGTTTAAGCTGCCCTTCATAACCCTTCACTTTCCCGTCCAGCTCTTCCAGCTTGTCACTCTTGGTCTTCAGAGCATCCTTGACTTCAGCCAATTCGGATTTGATGTCCTTCATGCCAGATTCCGTTTTGTTGAGGTCACCAGGAAGCTGGACCGTTTCAGTGTCTCTACCAACAGCACTGTCAGGCACTGGCTGGGGGTGCAGGTTATTGAGCCACGACGCCAGCATTTTGCTGGCATCGTCCTGAATGGTATGTTTGATGTTTTCATTTACTCCAGCGATGGAAGACTGGAGATCAAGAACTGTCCTTGTGAGCCGGAGAACCTTCTCCTCAAGCACCTGGATTTTCTTATCCTGAAGTTCTTGGGGACCCAGTTTTGGATCTGCTGCCCGACTTGGTTCCGATGCACGAGTTGGTGACAAAGTCTTCTTGGGCTCTGAGACTTGGCTTGGTTCACTGTCTGTTACAAAGAAAGAGTTGGATATGACTCAACTTTTACCTTGTTTCTGCAAAGACAATAACCAGGGTACTTACAGAATACACTTAAGCCTTCACTCCTACATCCACTCTCACCACAGGTAATTAGAGTGGAAAAGACTATGGGCTTTCAGTCAAACAGATCTCCACTTTCAGTCTGCCTCTGCAGTTTACTGTCTGCCCTCGAACATGTGAATTAACTTCTGTGAACTCTGATCCCCTCATCCATGGAGTGGAGGTACCATCTTCCCTCCTAAGGGGTAAGAGAATACGTACATGGCACATGATACTCAATGGTCTCTTTCACCCTGAAGGGAAATATTCTTTATCTACTTTATCATACAAAAATATCATCCCCCACACTAGTGAACTGCAGCCACACCCCAGTGGTTGACTGCCTACTGTAAGACCGTAAGAAGCCACTTTATCAAGATCCACCCATTAGCTGTTGGGTGGGATATTATTCAAGCAGCAAGTTGCTGTCCCATGTAACTCCTAAATGTTCTTTTACTTTTATTAGCATCCCTCTGCTAAGAGAGTCTCAGAGACATTGTTTAGCGCTGTTATGCAGTTGGGGAAACTAACAGCAAAAGAGAGATAAAGCAACTGATTCTCTTGGCATCTCCTAATAAGGGAGCCATTTGGCCATATTTAGGAAGGCTCACTAAGTCAAAGAATACAAACTTTGAATTTTTAATAATCCTACCTTGAGAAATATAACCTCAAGGAAATAGTGCCAGAGAAAGAAAAACTATTATAAAGATGATTGTGCTGAGTCATAAAGGAAAAGTAAACTGGTGGGCACAGAGAAAGACAAACTAAAAGGAGATGATCAAAACCGGAGGCACTGGAAATTAGAAGAAAACTGAGCAATGCTTTCAAATCCAAAGGAAAATTATTTCCAACCTGGAATTCTGAAACTAGAATAGAAATATTTGTAGACTATAAAATATCAGAAAGTTTCTCTCTTGTGCAATCTTCTCACGAGGCTGCCAGAAGATGTGCTCTACCAAAGCGAGGGAGTGGACTGAGAAGGAGCAAGCGGGTCCAGGAAACACAGAATCGGCAGGAGAGGCCAGTTCAGGTCGCAGGCAGCAGCTGGGAACAGAGAGGGTGGCAGCCCAGGTCGGGCAGCGAGGGCTCAAGGTGAGATTTCCTAAGGAATACTAGTATGTAACTGAAGTACTGAATGTAATGAGAGACCTTTTAGACAACCAGAAGAGGGTCTGGGTTGAAATAGGGGTAAAAACATAAAAAAACCAAGCAACGAAAAATATAAGATCATTATTCACTTTACAGAAATCATAAAGCTATATACGCCTGGCCAGTGTTGCTTAGTGGTTGAGTGTCGACCTATGAACCAGGAGGTCATGGTTCGATTCCCAGTCAGGTCACATGCCCCAGTGGGGGCAGCCAATCAATGATTCTCTCTCATCATTGATGTTTCCATCTCTCTCTCCCTCTCCCTTCCTCTCTGAAATTAACAAATAAAAAATATACTTTTTATAAAGCTGTTTAGGAAAAGCAACAGATTCATAGCACACGGCAGCTGTAAACATTCTCTACATAGTTACTACAACGTAAACAGTAAACACTGAATACATAAAAACGTGGTCTAACTATATGGAAAAGATGGAGGTATATAGAAGCAGTGTGTTGGCCAGTAGATGAAAGGGAGTCAAATCCTCACCTTCCCTGTGAGAAGTCAATAGCTAGAAAGTAAATTACAAATGGGCACTGGTAGCGTTTAAAGTAAGTATCCCTGGGGAGGGAAAGTGCTTTTCCTAATAGTCCTTATAAAGCTCTTCGACTCATTAAACTGCATGTATGTTTACAGGTTGCTAAAATGAAAACTGAACCTAAACAAAACAAAAATAAACTATTATGGTCCAAAATCATGTGTGCCCATCATAGTACCTTCATGAGTTAGTGTAACTACTTGTCTCATGTTTGCCTTCCATGAGGCCAGGGACTGTGTTTGCCATGGTCTTCCCACTTCCCAGGTAGTGTAGCTACAGAGGCTCAAAAAATATTTGTAGGGAGAATGGATTTTTCTTTCACAACAATGTATATGCTGCCACGGGAAAGAGAGAAATGTTTTATAACAAAATATTGACAGTAGTTATATTTTGGCGATGAGAATATTTGTACTTAAATATTTTCCTATGTTTGCCCTGCTGGTGTGGCTCAGTTGGTTGGTGTGTTGTCCCATACACCAAAAGGTTATGGGTTCAAGTCCCAGTCAGGGCACAGATGAGAGGCATCTGATTGATGTTTCTCTCTCTCCCCCTTCCTCTCTCTAAACATATCTTTGGGTGAGTATTTTTTAAAAAAAAGCAAAGGTGGACTTTGGTGAAATGATCCTTTCTTTCTTAGCAATTCATTGAGTTTCTGCTACTTCACTTCAAAAAGTTAATTCAGAAACAAATTTAAGAATAACCTCACTGGATGCTTGTAATGGGGGACTTAGCTTTGCAAATATCTCACCCCAAACAGAATGAGGATGATTCTATATACCTATTTTTTTTTTAACAATAATAATTTTACAATTTATTTAATAGCAACTGGTAATCATGAAATTAACAGTGGTTATCTTCAAGTTATTGCACTAGCTGTCCTGCCATTTCCTGAGGTTGATCATATATATCAGACTTGGTTTATCACCAGCATTTAGAAAACCAGACCTAGGGAAAGAACTAGGTCTGGGGACACATGCATGATCTTAATATAGCGATCTATATACCTATTTAAAAGAATTTTTTTAACTCCTTTAAATTCAGGTTTATGGGAGCTTATAGATGAAAGTAAACACACACAGAGCGTCATTGCTTTTGAATCTCTTCTCATCCCTGCCTCAGGCCATACAAGTCTGAAACTCCCAGCATCTCCTACACTGACTTCTAAGGCCTTGGCTTTCACGGTAAGGTGGCCCTAACAAAGCCATTTACTTGCAACAAGTTTGTCTTCCAATGGCTACTGCTTCCCATGTCGGCTGCAGGCATAGATTTGCGTTCTTTGAAGACCTCAGAAAGCTCAACAGCGTAGCTCAGCGTGGTGCTGTCTGAAGGAGCGCTGGGAATGCCAGTGGTGCCTGCCCAGCAGAGCACAGGCCAGAAGTTACCTGTGGGTTTCTTCAAGCTGCTCCGAGGCCGGGCGGGCGTGGCACGCAGGGCCTTCCCGGGGTCTCTGGGGCCTTCCTGGCAGTCTGCCCCTCGGAAGCCAGGGCAGCACCTCCATTCCAACTGTGTCACCATCTTGTACCTGGTGACGTATCTGGGTCTGAAGTTCACGCGATACCTGCGGAGGAAAAGGGTGGCATCTCTTTACTGGCTCCTGTCACAAACCCCCTGGCGCTTCCAGAGTGGACTCGAGGGACGAGGACCCAGGTCACTCAGGGCCCTGCCTGCTTCCTGCCAGTCTCCTCCATCCAGCAGTGACCTCCTGGGGCTCAGCCACATCCTATTGGCCTCCTCCCTCTACATCTTAGGTTCCACCCACCCCCAGCCTAGCACCCCTCCCACTAACGCCCGGGGAAACACAACTTAGCAAAACCTGGCCCCACCATTCCCATTGGGCGTGGCCAGTTTTCACAAACGGAGCTTTTGTTTCACCAACACACTTTGTTCCAGAGTTTGCTGTTTTGTGGACAATTTTTCAGGTGTCACTCGGTCATTATTTTAAAGATGCATCCCCCGGCCTGGCCGGCATGATTCAGCGATTCAGCGTTGACCTATGAACCAGGAGGTCACGGTTCAATTCCTGGTCAGGGCACATGCCCGGGTTGCAGTCTTGGTCCCCAGTGTGGGGCGTGAAGGAGGCAGCTGATCAATGATTCTCTCTCATCATTGATGTTTCTCTCTCTCCCTCTCTCTCTCTCTCTCTCTATCTCTCTCTCTCTCTCCCCCTTCCTCTCTGAAATCAATAAAAATGTTTTGTTTTGTTTTTTTTTAAAGCAGCAGCATCCTGGCCCCCTTTCTCCCATAGAACCCAGGCCATGACCTCAGCCCTCTCTCCCTGGCACTAGCAAGATGGCAGCCTCGAGCTACTCAGGAACTTGTGTTCAGATTTTTTTTAATGCCTTGACTCCTATAGCTAATGAGAGAAACAGGAAACAGGATTGGAACCATTCAAAAGTCCCCATAGAAAGTGCGCGTCCCCCCCCCACACACACACACCCCTGATGCACGTGTGCATCACACAGACCCTGTGACGAGCTGTGAGGTCTCCACACCCGGCCGGGCGGAGACCCAACGTGGCCCAGGGGACGGCTCCGGGCGCGGCTCCCCAGGGCCCGGCGCACCGCTCAGATGCGAGCGGCTCCTTCGTTTACCCCGGCCGCTACCTCTGGCTCGGAACCATGGCTCTTGAACCTCGTCCCGTTCTCTTCACGTTCAGCACCAGCACTCGCAGCTGGTCATGTTTTTAGGGCCAATTCCCAGAAAGAAAGAGTCTTTGTATCACTTCCCAGGGTTGCTGCATGCTGCTGGGGTGGGGCTCGGGTTGACCAGCTGCCCGGCGGCCTGCGGCCCTCTGCCAGCCAAGCGACCCCGCTTGGGGCAGCAGCCTTGCGGCAGGTGCTGTTCAGGGTTATGCTCCTGAGAGACTTATAACTCCTGCATGTAATGGGCTCAGCATCTTCCTGGACGGTCAAAACCGTGGCACCCAGAACCTGGAATGTAAGGTTCTCCACCACCAGCCAGGCCGGGCGGAACCCCCAGGGGGCACGGCCCAGCACCTTCCATGGTCCCTGTTCCACCTGGTGGTTTGGGGCCCGAGAATCACTGTGAACACCTGTGAGCAGCTGCTGACGCCTGCGTCTCACCTCAGTGCTGACCGACTTGGTCTGTGGGGGGGCTGGTGTGGGGACGTGGAGAAGGTGTGGTGGGAGCCCTTTTCAAGGACAGCTGAAGAGAAAGCCCAGTAAACAGAAAAGAAGGGCTGCTCAAGGAGGGAGGGGAAAAGGGGGGGGCAGCAAGACCTCCTTCCTGGCTCTTCATTCTCTCCCATCCCCACCCTACCCCCCAGCAAGTCCCCACAATTCAGATTTTCCTCTTTTCACTATGAGAAACAGAGGCTCAGAGAGGCTGTGACTTGCCCAAGTTCCAACGGTCAGGGAGGGCAGGGCTGGATTGAAACCCGTGTTCTCCTCTGCCCCCCCCCCCCCCCCCGGTTCGCCACCCCCCCCCCCACACACACACACACACAGCCTCCGCGGGCAGCAGCCGAGAGCCGCTCTAACCGCACCCACCCCGAGATGGTCCGGACTCCGTGAGAAGCGGCCACTGTCCCCACTCGGCAGGCATCCCCTGAGTGTCTAATTCGGCCCAGGTGCACACCGCCCTTGGCCCTACCACCCACCCACCCACCCACCAAAAGAATCCTCTGTGTGGCCCTAGAAATGATATTAGAAAACAATTCCACTTCACTGTTTTGCACACTCCAGGACAGCATAATGCTGGAAAAATGTGCAACCTCAGAAAAACTTGGTTCCTCTGAGCATTTGCGATTGAATGTGAGAATGCGGCTGCTCTTGGGTTTCGCTCATGTGCCAGGAGATGACAGCCCACGTTAAACCCTTCGGATGAGGCTGCGCAGAGAGAGGCTCCGACGCCCTGGGAGGAGGTCCGACCTCTCACCCCACCCAGGGCCGTACCCTCGCCGCTGAGCCGGGGGTGAGAAAGTCTGGCTTCCCCACAGGCCGTTCTTCCCGCAGAGGCGGTATTCTTTTGGAACAAGCTCCTAACTTAGAAAGCTCCCTGGAGTCCCGCCTTCCCCTCCACCCTCACACGCACACTCCCACCCTCCCCTCGCTGGCCCGCAGGCAGGGTTCCGGTTTCAGCGATGGAGTTCAGGTGACCGCATCCCTGACAGCTTCAGGTCCAGCAGGGGAGGCGCACCTCCCCCCGCCCACCCCACCACCCAGGGTGACAGCTGGAAATGATCAGGCAGCCACCTCTAACGTGGGAAAGCACACGTTCCCCCTTCTCTGTGCGCAACCACATAGACCCCAAGCGGCTTCGGGTCCTCAGAGCTCAGGGTGGGGGGTGAGGGAAGGAGGTAGAGCTGTCCAGCTCCACAGGCTCTCTGGATTTTCCCCACAGAAACGGGGATCCTGCCTCCACAGTAGCCCGCTGGGGGTGTTGCACAGAGGATGGGAAGAACGGATGGGATTTCCATGCCCCCCAGAGCATCGCAGACAATACCCTGGCCAAGGAGCGTTACAGAAAAGCCTGGGCCTTTACCCCTCAGAATCCTCATCTTCATTGGCTTGGGGGCAGGGGGTGCCCAGGAATCTGTACCTTTCAAAACCTCCCTAAGTGGTTGTCAAGCGCAGCGGCCAGCCGGAGTTGAGAAGCAGCCTCAGACCAGGAACGGCTCTGCCCTGAGGCAGCCAGGGCTGGACCACCTGCAGGGAAGTGACTAGAGCGAAAGCAGCCCAAGGGGCCCCTGGGCTGTGAGCACACACAGATGCTCAATGAATACTTCCTGAACCAGCTCACCCACTGCACCCAGCTGGGCCACCAAACTGAGGGACAGAGGGACCAACACCCACAGGAGGTGCTGGGAGAGCTGAGGGCTGACCCAGACTGCAGCCTTACCCCCTCCATCGCCGGTCCCTTGGGTGGCACCAATCCCAGCTGTTGCAGCGTCCTGGGGGACCCTGGGGACTGCGGCCTGAGCCTGCCCAGACCCTGCCTCAGCCATGCCCACTCGAACTCTCCTCTCCCCTGGGACTCTTCTTTGGTGAAACAAGGGTTTACCATCTTTACAAGTTCAGCCTCCGTGTGAAAGGCAGCAGCCCGGCCCGAGGAAGTGTGGTGAGAAGGAAGGCAGCAAGGAAAGAACTGAAGGAGTTGAAGCAGAGTTCAGGGACCACGCGACTGGAAGGGTCCCTGTGAGAACAGAACGTGACGGAATGTGCCTTCATTTGGCCTCAGCACCACCACAACTCCGTCCAGGGGCTCGAGGTGAGCCTCTTCCCGAACATGCTTCCACCCTCACTTGCATTTGCTTGTTCAGCACCTGTCTTTCCTGCAGGCCGCGAGCCCCACTGGGGCAGGAATACCTGGGGGTGGTGTTCTCCACTAAAATCACAGTGCCTGGCCTATAGTGGGTGCTCAATTAACAATGACTAATCAACTAATAACTGATCAATCAAATAATTAATTAATAATAGGTCTACTTTTGACAAGGTTTTGTGGAGTCCAACGCCCTAATTAAAAATTTCAGAATTATCCTTGGGTCTAACCCTAAGTAGACACGAATTCCTGAGTCTTCCCCAAATCAAACCAAGCTTCCGGGCCTCAGGTCATGATGAACTGGGTCGGAATCACACACCGGGTAACCTTGAACTGTGCTGGCCAATAAGTAGCCATTAACCACGTGTGGCTATTTACATTTAAACTATTTTAAATGGACTAAAATCAAACATTGAGTTCCTCGGTCACACTAGCCACATTTCGAGTGGTCAGTAGCCCCGAGTGGCTGGCACATCTCCACTGTTGCAGACGGTTTCATCGGCCAGGACAAGCCTAGCGAGCCACAAGGTGGCCACGGGAACACCACCGGCACACGCCTATCTGCTCATCTCCGGGTTTCTATCTCACACCCACCCGCTGTCTTTCTCCTCCCACAGCCTAGAATCGCTGGCAGAACATTTCTCTGAAAAATAACCACACATCCCTGGCAGAGGGACATCTAGACAGCTACTCCACAAGGCCAGAATCTTCGGCCTGCACTCCGGAGTTACCTGAATTTTATTTTAACACCAACCACCACCACTGCACACATCGAGAGCCCAGTGCCCCATTGCAGACACTCATTTGACCGGGATTTCTCCCAAAAACAGATTTTTTTTCTTTTAGTAAACTCTTCTCCTTCTTCCAGTCACTGGCTTGCCCTCAGAAGTCTGGAGCCAACCCTTCTGGCCTCACTCTGCGTGTGTGGCTCTGCACAGCATTGCCCGGGATGGGCCTGAGAGGATGGGAAAGGCCAGGCAGCAGGGGGCCTGGAGGGCTCCCGCCTGCCCCCGGGACAAGGAGAAGTAGCACGCGAGGGTGAGAAGTCATTCCGTCGCGTTTCAGGATGCTCACAGGGCACACTTGGTTCCTGGCACTCAGCTGCTACGCCAGGTTTTCCATAGAGCAGCAACTAACCCACTTTCTAAAACTGTGGTAAACTACACAGCACATTCCATGTGCCACAGCCATGTGTAAGAGGCCGCTGCATGGAGTCCGTTCCCATTGCTGTGCAGCTGTCACCACCACCCACCTCCATAACTCTCATCATCCCAGCTA